TCTCTCACACAGATATGGGACGATATAACAATGATTTTGGGAACGTTTGGTCAGGCACTTCAAGGGTTTTCATTAACCGTTTACGATGAGTTTAGAGCACCCGTTCCCCTACCTTATAATCTTTGGGCACTGTGCCCTGGCCTACAAGTAATCCACAGTTTCTTAACAAATCTAATATCAGGCTCTCGCCCCCCTCCAGATTACCATCCCATCCGGTTCGTTATTTACGATCTGGGTGGCATATATTACTGGGATCGGGCATTTGGGGCACAGCAATGTTATTTTCACAGCATATCGCTGTTTTCGTTCCTAGCCACGAGCTGGAGACTGGAACAGTTCGAAATGGATATAGGCTGGTTGGCTTTGCAGCAGAAGCTTAAAATTTTCGATGAAGACAACTTGAAGACCGCCTACAGATTTTTCGATCATATACAACGCAAAGGGCCATGCCTGAAAGATAGATATGGTGAAGATATGGAGAGTGAACCAGCAAAAGGCTTCATGCTTTGGATCCAAGAAGCAATCACCTCCATAGATGTGATAGAGACATAGTAGGTGGTCTTGAAATAGAAAAGCACCGGCTTACTCATTTCTTCTGCAGCATTGATTTCGAAGGCGAATTTTCTGCAGACTCTGAATTAGAAGCAGAGTTTACTAGCAGTGAAGGAGAGTATGATTATCCGAGTGGTGACAGTGAATCTGACCAATTCGCCGATTACGACTACCTTTGGTGGGATAATGAATGGATGGATAGATGGTGGCAAAGCCTTGTAAGCGATGAAGATGATGATAATGACGATGATTACTGTACAGACAGTGACAGCCAAAGTTATCAAGGCGAGGATTGGAGACAAGATTAGCAATACAAATGTACAATAACAAGCACCGTTTTCAAATAACCTATCTCATTATTCGAGCTTCATTGAACCATTAAACGATGGATTACAACCTCAACTCATAATACGAATAGTTAGTATGGAACCAAACCCTTGTTCCGGCCTGACCAACTTCTGTGCTTGACAAATGACAATCGTCACGAGCTCGAAATCTTTACAACCTCTCCTTCAATCAATTAAGAATATTAGCGTCTTTAAATGTGGCGAATTTCCTCGGGCCAAGGTGTGGCAAATGTCAAGCGGTGCCGAGTTGGTCGAGAGTGGTGTGCCGAAATCAAGCGCTGTGAATGCATGGTTGGCGAGTATATAAAGAGCCGAGTAAGCGGGTTTACTCTCGACTGCTACCGATTTTCGCCATCATATCCAAGCTAGACAATATCCTTGGCCTTGAGGGGTTCGGTTCGCCTTGAGCACAATATAGTCATGAGATCCAATGGCAAGGCTCTCTAAATTGCTAGACGTGGATGCCACTGACCGCCACCTCGATCCCAGATGTAATCACAAGGGCTGTTGATCGAATGCCGATAGAACTTTGGAGCCTCATCCTTCTCAGTGCGGTGCATAATTCACTTCTCCCTTCTTCCGACAAATCTCTCCTCGCAAGTATTCGAGCTTTCAACAACCACTTGGAAATCTTTCGAGAAACCTACGAGACATATGGTCGACTACAGCTGGTCTGTAGTACGTGGTAAGAGATACTCAAGTCATATCCATTAAATTCGGCATACTGGAGAGGTGAAGACCCATCTTTTATTCCCTTTTCGGCTGTGCGGGTCGACATTGGAAACGAAGAAACTTTCGTTTCCGAGCTCCCTGGGTCATTATTTTCACTAGAGTATGCAGAATCCAAAAAGCTCCGTTATCGTGTCGAATATCCTGCAGTCGAAGCCCTAGCCTTTATGGATAACCCAGATTATTGTGCAAATTTGAACCTATTTCCAAATTTACAACTTCTATCTACGGTGTACTTGGATCCAGATCATGTCTTGTCTACCTTTCCGACACTTTTCATCAATCTCACTCACCTACAAGTTCCTCGAATATATGCCGCGAAAGATCAGACTGTGGAAGGCGACCTGGCCTTTCCACATCTTCACACCCTAAATATTGATATCACGGCCCAATTTGTATACCGAGGAAAGGGTCCTATGACGTCATGGTGGGTAAATCCAGGAAACACTCTAGATTGCTTGAACTGGTCGCTACCAAGTCTCATCAATCTTGGGTTCCGCGGAGTAGATCAGGCGAGATACAGCGACATAGAGGACCTCCTCGAGAAATTTGGCCTAGTATTGAAAGGGTTTTCGTTCACAACCGCTACTCATGCTCCTTTACCGCTCAAAGTCTGGACCTATTGTCCAGATTTGACCGAGTTGCATGCGTCATTGACGAATCTGACGGTAACATCTCGGCCTCCCCCCACACACCCTCCTATCAGACTCACTATCAGTGACCTCTACGACCCAGAGTTCTGGAAGAACGCATTCGGAACGCGCCGAACGTACTACCATGATACATCTCTCTTCGCGTACATAGCGTCGAGCTGGAGGGTCGACTCCTTTGAGATGGACACTAGCTGGTCTATGATTCAAGAGCGACTGGAGGATTTCTCCCGGGAAAGCTTGGAAATGGCTTTCAATTTCTTCGATCAAATTAGACAAGATGGGCCGTATCTCGAGGATAGACACGGAGAGGGTATGGATAGCGCCGCGGGACAAGCATTTATGAACTCACTCAAAACAATAACGGAGATGAAATTGACGAAAAAAAGGTATAGTACCTCTTTATTCGTTTAGTTGCGTTGGCTGATTGTTCTTTAGCCCAAAAGAGGACTTGGCTGATGATCCAGAGGCGGAATTTACAGATAGTGAAGACGAGGACCCCTCTAATGAGGGTGGCTACGGTGAAGATGTAGAGAAAGTCGATTACTCCTACTTCCTCGAAGGCGATTGTCTCCGTCATTGGAATGACCCCCACCGCGATGACAATGACGAGGACTATTGTCCAGAAGATGAGAGCTGTGAGAGCGAATAGAAATGCACAAAATTCTTTTTAAGAGCAGATCTGAAATAAAATAAAATTCATGAAATTGAGGAGGAAATGGAATATGCAGAAGGCATGGCTTAGCACCTGACCATGCAGCTTAACGTTCGATACTTACAGTTATTACATAACGGAATTCGTAGACACGGTTCCGGAACACTTGATATGATGTACTGGATTCTAAATCACGGTGTGGCAAATGTCGATGTCCAGGTGGTAAAAATCGCCGAAGCCGGGATAAGCGCGTATTCAAAGGTGTTGGACAGATGGTTAGCGAATATATAACAGACCCCAGACTTTCGTGCTTTTGACCGCTACTCGCTTTCACTTTCATATCAAGGTTAGACAACATTCTTGGGTTTGGTTGACCTTCAGCACTAGATAATCATGTCATCCACTGGTGAATTTCGTTCACTTACCAGATGCCATCATCACTAAATGCTTCGATGACAGATTCAATCACAAGGGCTATTGATAGGACACCGATAGAGATTTGGACGCTCATCCTCCTCAGTGCAATCCACCAGTCACTTCTTCCCTCTTCCGACAAATCTCTCCTCCCAAACATTCACATTTTCAACAATCACCTGGAAGTATTTCGAGATGCCTACGAGACACACGGTCAATTGCGTCTAGTCTGTAGCACTTGGGACAAGATACTGAAGAAACATCCGTTAACTTCCGCATACTGGAGAGGTGACAAACCTTCTCTGATTCCTTTCTCGGCAGTACGGGTCGACATTGGGTATATCGGAAATTTTTTCTTTCAGTCCCCCAGGTCATTATTGCTACTAGAAGCTGAAGACTCCACGAAACATCTCGCTCGAGTCAACTACTCTGCAGTAAAAGCCTTGACTCTTACGGATTACCCGGAAAATCACACACATATTAGTCTGTTCACAGATCTAAGACTCCTGTCCACGTTGTACTTGGATCCAGATAGTATACAGTCTACATTTCCAACACTCCTACTCACTCTCACTCACCTTCAAGTTCCTCGTATATATGTCGAACAGGACCGCGACGCGGAAGTAAACCTGGCATTTCCGCGTCTGCAAACCCTCAATATTAACCTCTCTGCCCAGGTTTTATACCGAGGCAAAAGACCTATGACAGCTCGGCATGTAGATATGAGAGGATACATCCTGGATTTTTCGAACTGGTCATTACCGAGTCTTGTCAACATTGGGTTTTATGGAGCAGACGGGAGGGAAGCGGATGTGAAGGAACTTCTGGAAAGATTGGGTTCGACATTGAAAGGATTTTCATTCGCCGCCTTTTCATACACTTCATTACCGTTAAAAATTTGGATCCATTGCCCTAATTTAAGTGAATTGCATGTATCACTGACGAATCTTACAGTAACTGCTCGACCTCCTCCTACGCCCTCCCATTCGGTTCATTGTCAGTGATCTCCACAATCCAGAGTTTTG